AAAATATTTTTGATTTTGTTGTACTTTATTTTAAACATTTAAAGTCAAAAGTAGTTGAACTTCATTACGTTAACCATAGTCTTTTTATTGTTTTGCTCGCTAATTTACTGAATAATTAAAAATATTAAAATAATTAAATAAAAATCAATAAGTGGATAAGTGGATTAAACAACCAATTATCCCTCTCGTCTGGCTACGCCACTGTGGTATATATAATATATATACCATTTATAAATACTTACATATGTAAGTGAAAGTTTACCTACTTATATTTTAAATTACATAATGTATTTCACTTTAGTCAGAGAAAAATACAAAAAAAAGTTTAGAAAAGCTTAAATATAGACTCATTTTTTTTTTAACAAATTAAATATTATACATTTATAAAAAAAAAAAATACATAAATAGATATTTAGTTAATATTATTATTTATATAATCGACTGATATTTTTTAACGAATGAATAAAATGTTTAACAGATATTATAATAAACTGTACTCTTGTACATATCAAAAAACCTACTCGTGTGCTTTTGTATTCACAAAATTATTTTCACAAAAATAAATACAAAATTGTCATTTTATTAGATTCTAAATGAAGTGATTTTACAACGATATGTTATGTTTATAATTTTTTGTCTTTTTTTGTTTGAATACAACAAATATGTATATCTTGTATACATATGACTAAGTGAAGAATGCTTAGATTTTGGTTTCAGTTAGAAAATTGGATCAAATTTGTTCTTTAGAGAGATCAAAGTTCACAGTATTTTTCACTTATCGTACAACAAAGTGGTAATCACTTCCCATATTTTACAATAAATTATGAATAACTATATGTATTTATTAACTTAAAATATATCCTATATCCACTCCATAAAATGACTTAAATGTCTAAGTAGGTCATTATAGTACAAGGTTATTTTTGCTTTTGAACTGTATTATTATTATTTCTTATGCACAATAGAAGCGGTTTTGTTATTTGTATTAAGATGTAGGTACAATGTACATAATATGTAGGTATATTATACTGTAAAGATTCTATTGCACAGTGTATACATTCTCGCACAAACTGGCAAACTGCACCTCTTTATCTACATTGGTGTATCATTGCAGAAAATTAGTTAAGGAATAATTTAAGGTTTTGCCATGTATTATATACCGCCGTGAGATTGCGCATTAATAATTTTATACACAATTCGGCGGAGTATTTCAAAAGGGTTATGAATATTTCATTAACAATGAGCCACCCTCAGCACACCCATACTTGCTGTCACTTGGAATTGGAAGACATCTCAATGTGTATATACGTTTTATGTAGGTTCCTACTTTTCTCCTTTACAGATCATAGCTTTTACATCACTTAAATAATCAAAACGCTATCACTTAAATAATTTAATCTTTACACTTTGCAGTTTACATGTATTCTTCAGCCCTCAGCGTATATTTATTAGAACGAGCAGGTAAATAGTCTTTAGATTATAACCTAATTTAACTATTCTAATAATTAGTAAAATCATCACTTATACAAGCTGTTTTTATAAATCATTTATGAAATAACTTTTATCACATCTATGAACATAATATGACTATATGAAACAAACAAAAAATGATTTTCGTTATATTATCTATAACTTAAAAATTTTATATATTTTTTGTTACAATTTAAATTCTAAAGGAATATTATAAGCTCCTCGAGTACAATAGTAAAATCAACACATAATATAAGGTATAGGTACCCAATAAAATTATAATTAAATTAATTTCATATAAAATGTCCCCAGAAGATAAAAAGATAAAAAGAGAGTTAAACTTGTCTATAGAAAACATTAATTTTTTTGTAAAAATATTTTGAAGGAAAACATAACTATTTCAAAACAATTTCTCCACAAAATATCACCAGCCAGCACGCAGTATACACTTATCTAAGATCCTTTGTAAATAAGATTCCACCTACCTTTAAATAATTCTAGACTCTAGTATTTTACCATATTATAATATCATAAAACGGTCTTAACAAATTAATCGTAAGAAGATTATATTATTAAAGTGGGTTTTAAAAACACATAAAAATAATGTTTTTGACATTTTTTCAACACTATGAATTATAATATTATACTCGTAATATTATAGACTATAATATCAGGTAGGTACCTACTACCTATACAGTATACACATTATTACATTAATATAGTAGGTATATTGAAAAATAAGTTTCGTCGACTTTTATATTCCTTTTATTTTCTAGTTATTACAGTTTGACTGATTTATTTGGTAATCAAGCCTAAAATACTTAGTACCTGCTAAAGTAAAAAAAAAAAAAATGTATTTACCTAAATCACTTTTTTCAATTCTCTCAGTTGTTATATTTTGTTAGTTACGATGTATTAATTCATAAATTCTAGTACAGCATTTAAACTTATTTAATTAATATACAATTTACAGCTAATTCAATTAATTTATTTGAACAACCAATATATTATTTTATCATACAAATTGTAATGGTTTATGATATAGACTTTTAAGTTTTAACTATGTAAATACAAAATATATTCTCTTTAATTTGTCCATCAACAATTTTCATTAAAATCTATAAAATCAATATAGATACTTTGTGTAAAGCAATTTAACTCAATATATAAACTTTGGAATTTTAAAATAAAAATAAAAAATTATGTTTATATAAATTATTCAAATAATTCAGAATCTCTTTTCTCACTGCAGTTAGTCTAAATAAGTCAAAATGAACACAATATCAATTTTTTGTAAGATATTGAATGATAAGTTTACCTTAGAATAACCCTCCTCGAATATTGCTGATTAACCAATGTGTTAATTTAAGCTTAGTTATAGCTTGTTATTATATAAAACAATTAGAGCTGGGCCGATAACATTTTTTTTCGGATATACGATATTCCGATATACGTAAAACCAATAACCGATCTTATCGATCTGATATTTTATTTCCATGAACCAATATAAAAAAACTTAAAAAAAAACTGATAACCGATACATAAACCAATAAAAAATATAAGTCATGTGATGAAATATCATTTTCAATATTATGATTATTTCGATGTATTAAAACATATTAGATTTATGCAAGGATAATTAATAATTATTAAACTAAATTAATAAATAAATAATAATTATTGATTTAAATATTGCATATTATATAGGTAGTTATTATAAATCAACAACCTTTAAAAGGAGAAATCACAAAGAGTATAAACAAAATGATTCACCAAGCGTACCCATCCCTATTTTATTTTATTTTTTTTGGGGGAGGGGTTGATATGTTTAATAATTTATTGAAAAAGAATATTTTTAAATACTTATTTTTACCTTTTTTTCATTGTACTATTTAGAATTAATGCATGCTAAGATTATATAAACATTTCAAATTTGAGCCCCCTTTTTTTTTATTGAAAATTTCTAAAAAAATGATTTATTTGAAAATGTATCAAACATCTAAGTCAACATTTGAACATCATTTAATTTCTATGCAAAGAAAGCAATTAAGTATATGTACTTTATAAAAAGGTAGACAAGTGGGTACATCTCTGCTGTACGGAATACATATTTTGACTATTGCTTGAGTAAATCTAGTTGTAACAGTGTTGTGTGTGTAAGTCAGTAAGTTCATTTAATTTTTTCGAACTAAAAAGTTTTAGTTGACGATATTGCGTTTGGATGGTGGCTCAGAGAATTGTGACCAAGTTAAATTTTGGGAATTTTAGATGATAAATTAGAAGAAAATGCTGAAATTGAAGTAGATACCACTTAGATGTATTTTCGGTAGTATTATCTAGACCACCTTCAATATTCATGATCGGATTAAGTTTGGTGGGGTGCATTCGTTTTAAATGTTTTATTATAAATTAAAAAAATTATAGAAATTGTGAAATTAGTATTTATTATAACAGTAATGACTGAAAATCAAAATAGTAAATACAGAATAATACAATAATGATATGATAATGTGTTATATAATATGGTTATTTAGATAATAGATTTCAGAATATTAGTCTGTAACCGTGCTATCTTAGTTAGAAATACTCAGTCTCAGAATAATTGTTATCGAGGATGCTATCACAGTTATTAGCTTACTATTATTGTTATTAAAACAGTTACTGTTAACCAAGTACCGACTAGTCAGTGAGAACAAGTTAAAAAAAAATAAATACTTATAACAGTTATTTTTTCATCCTAGTAACAGACTGTTATTGTTACTCAAGTAAGAACTGTTATAAATCACTGTTACTATTATTTTTCCACATCACTAGTCGTCAGTAAATCGTTCTCCTCATCCAATTTGGGACATTGTTCCAAATCCGACGATTTCGGAGCGCCTGCATCGAAATCCGACGATTTCATGGATACTACAAACACTGTCGATGAGATGAACTTGTTTAAAAACAATTCGGAAAAATTGCTCACCAGCGAAGAGCTTGAATATGTTAAAACGGTGTTGGAAGATAAAATTAAAAAACTTGCCGATACAATAGATACCGTAACCAAAGCCAATAAAAATCTGTAAATTAATACAACTATATCTCGATAGTTATTTTTTTTAATAAATAAAATAAACAATTGTAAAATAATATTATGATTTCGTGATAATTGTTTTTGTTGATAAGAAATGACGTCTGCTTCGTTGAAAGATCTCATGTGCATAAAGATAACGGGTGCCATAGACGTTACGATAAACACCGTCGGTGTTAACCTTGTCATATCTGAAGCCATGTTGTTTTACTTGTCCAACGCGGACAAACCCAACGGTTACGTGCATCACGACGGTATGATATGGAAAATGGTATCGCGGTCCGACGGGTTTTTTCAAAAATTTTATAGCCAAGTCGGTCGGTATTATACGAGATCTACGATTAAATAAGTTATTTAAAATAACAATATAACATTGAAAAAATAATTTTTTTTTATTAATATTTAGAATTAAATACAAATTGATAAAGATTAAAATTATTGAAAAATTTAACACAACTGAAAAGCAATTAATTATTGTATCTAAAATAAAATATTTATTGACATAAGTATCAATTATTTATCTAAACATTTCTATACTAAGTTAGATTACAATTATGTTTTAAAAATATTATTTTAGTATTCCTCCAATTTGTAACATTTCATCAATATTGACAATTTTTTCTCTTGGTTTACCATGTTTTATTCCTCTTTCAACTTCGACTTTGTCAATTCTCATCCATCCATCCCAATCAACAGTAACTATACCTATAATAATATTTTAATTTAAATTATTTTTTCTTATTAACTATTATAATCTAACTAATATGATGATAAATACCTTTATCTTTTAGTACTTTTGAAATGTAATTATATCCTGCCTTTTGTTCACTAAGCAAACCTTTATCAAAATGTTGGCCAATTAACGAAGCTGCTTGAAAAGCATTACTCATAGTGGACAAAATCACTCCTACGGGCCCCGAAGACAACCAACCAACACTATAAATACCTTTGAAAGTAAAATATATATATGTTAGCGTTAATATATGAAATTCTAAAATGCTATAAAATAACAGGTACTTCCAGTAAATTCATACATACAAACTTCAATTAGTTATTCAAAATACTAACTTTTTATTTTATAAACTATCAATAATGGTTTAGTAAATTTATTTAAAACTATTATTTAATCATTTTAATCTATACATAAAATATTCATTAGTCGATTCTGATTTGTACAATATAAATTTATTGCAATTATTAAATTATTATAACTTATATAATTTATTATTTATTTATTAGTACATGAACTTTTTGGATGGCATTTAAAGTCACAAAATACTTTTTTTTTAAACATATACTTTGTTTTGAGGTGCATTTGAAAAACCTTTGAACATTACCTAGTGATTGGAATTTGAATGCCTTTCGAAGACAAATATCTTCATCTAGGACGTCACTGAGCATCTTATTTTATTATTTTTATTAATAAAATGACAATGGCAACAAATATTGCATGTTATCTACTCCAGTATTGATTATCTATCTAACGATGACTATAAATTTCATACATCAGCGAAAACCCAATTGGTTTTCTATATAATAATTAGTAAAACCGTATAATTTATATATTAAAGAGAACATTTAGGAATTTTATAGAATAACTAGTTATTTAATAAAATAATATATTACATACATTAGCGCTAACATATATAATCATATATAATCAAAATATAAAAATGACTATACCTATACTTTGAGGTACTGTTGAAGATATTTTATTAAAAGGTACATCAGGATCTGCTTGGACACTTCGATATCCAATACTACGAAAAGCTATGTCACATTTTAATGTATACTTATCATCAGTAACCACCGCTTTTTCTCCTAAAATATTATTGTTCATCTAAACTTATTAATGTTTTTAAAATCACATCATTATTTTTTTTCACCTTCTAAATGATTTATAGCCAGTTCAATTCCTTCCATTTTTGTATTACCTAATATTGAAATAGGCGTTCGCAAGAACAATAAATCAAACGATTTATTTCGAACTTCTATTTGTTGTGATGCATCATACATGAGTTGTATTAATCGTCTACGAGGTCTCGGTAAATCTGTAATTGCATTTAACAATTTACAATTTAAAATTGGAAATTTTTAATTTATTTAAAAGTAAACATATCTAAAATAATTACCACTTATGATTTTATTGATATCATTAATTTGGTTTTCAAAAAAATTTGTGCTTACTCCGGGTAATTTCAACATTTCTCTAAATTCTTTAATTGTAAATGCTACTTGTAAAGGACCTCGGCGACCTATAAGAGTGACTTTTTTCACTTTACTTTGTGTCAAAGTTTCTAAACTATATTCTGTGATGTCCGTTTTCTGAAAAACATAATATTCAATTTCAATCATCAAAGACTATAATTAAAAACATTAACTGTACCAACTCTCAGTTCATCAATAGGTGTTAATAATATTCTTGCAACATCTAATGCAACATTTCCTTGTCCTACAATAACAGCGTGTTCAACGTCCAAATCTACTTTAATATTTTTGTTTGCTGGCAAACCATTATACCATCCTATAAATTTTGTAGCTGATAAAACATTGGATAAATTTTCACCAGCAATATTTAATTTTTTGTCTTCATCAGCTCCATAAGCCTAAAGAAATAATGAACATTATATAATCATAGATTATTATTTTATTTTTTATTAGTATTCTACTCTCTAGAGTTTAGGCCCTTTGTTCCTAATACTATCATAGTACTATCATAGCATACATAAAATATAAATACTTATTATTTAAATTATTATACTGACATATAATTTAACATATTGTAACTTACTAATACTATGGCATTATAGGAATATTTAAGTTGTGCCAAAGTAATATCACAGCCAAGTGAGACATTGCCTATAAATCGGACATTTTTATTTGATGCAGTTTTAGTAAATGTATTTATAACATTTTTTACTTCTGGATGATCAGGAGCTACACCATAACGTACAAGACCAAATGGTACTGGTAATCTTTCATATATATCAATCTGACAATCAGGTATCTTCTAAAATTTAATGAAATTAATAAAAATTGTTTAAATATTAATAGGAGTTTTATATTACTTTAAGTAATTGTTGTGCACAATAAAACCCTGCAGGACCAGCTCCTACAATGCCTACATGAAATCTGTTGACATGTTTTGAATATTTCCTTATAGAATGATTCAAGTATATCCATCGCATCTGTAAAACCAATATAAGTTTTTATTGATATTCGGTAATATACTATTAATATATACATCATAAAATTGGTAAATCAAGTTAAATTATCAAATCAAACGATTATTATATATTAATATCTAATATTAAATAAATTAAAATTATTTCAAGCATCATAAAATAAAATAACTGTATTTACTAAAATAATAGTAAGTAGGTGTATTTACTATTTAAAAAGTACACTTTTCTATTAAATAAAAACTAAATAATTTCATCAATTTTCATATTATAATGATTAAAAATAAAAAATCAGCACTACCTATTTAAAAAAAGTACCGGTCACACATACATTTTATCATTGATTTTTGGAAAAAAATAAAACTGCCCATTAATAAGTTCAAATTTCCTTTTTATCTTTTTTATGACTTATTGTGACATGGAGTCATTTAATGTATTTTTCCTAGAACACCTGACGAAATCCAAAAAATTTAAGTTTTAAGGAAGTGATTTATATGATTTATTTATTTATTTTTGAGTTATTGTATTGACAAAAGTGTATACAACAATAAAATAGTTTCTACTTACAATTCGTTGATTTCAAATTCTATTAATTTACAATAGACTTTGTTTTTAAGGTTCAAGCAAAAATTATATTTGTTTTTATTAGTATTAATTTTTTAAGTCGAGTGTACATCAAGACAGAAATGATTGTAGGTAATACTGTAATATACTATTGGTCATTAAGCATTGGACATGAATATAAATACTGTAGACGCGTATTTAAATTTCGATCCTGTGTTTCAATCACATCAAGACGTTCTTAATATCATGTATACTCTACAGTATTTAAACTGTTGTGTTACAGCCTAATAGCCTACTTTTTAAAATAGGAATTAGGAAACGGAATTGCGGAATTGAATTATGAACAGTGTCCACCACATCAAAATGTCGATGATAACGTTCTATTGATAACAGAATTAAATTGTTGGAACCATAGGTTAGGTCTATGGTTGGATTCCGGATCATTAGAAAGTTGTACACAGTAAGGTCAAGTTTATTTTGAATGTGGTCATACTGTCGATGCTATCAAATGTTCAGTAGTAATTTGTTTTTGTTTACACTATGAAACGTAAATGTAATTCGTCACTTACGATTTTACGAATTAGCGCACTGCGGTTTGCGATAGTCGATAGTCGTTAAGTCACTTGAGTCGTAACACTCTTAACTACATAGTGCATTTTAAATATTTTAATTAATTTTTTATTTCATAAATATGGTTTCGTTATTGATTTTTGTAACGTGAAAAACTACAATGGGTCTGCTCATATGTCTTTGCAATATACTCGTTACGCCCAAACGAGGTAAACAATTCACAATAGTTCCTAATGTCTATTACACTTGTATGGTCTCCTTGACCGCTCAATAAACGGATCTAAAAATATGGAATACCTATTGATATTACCACTGTTGCTGGCTGTTGTCGACTGTGCACAATTTGATTTGTATTTCGATGCCAACGATGTAGAACCGTTGATGGGCTTGGCTGCTCGACTGTATTATGTGCGCGGCGGTCAACTCAACACTAATGCTGTGCAATATGCTTTGGAAGTACCGTCATTTGTCAACACTCTGAACTTTACTTGGAACTCCAAGGGTACTTTGTTATACAAAATTGCAATACAGGCTGACAAGGATAGTGTAGTACCAAAATTAAATATGGCTCAAGAAGGTACTATGCCTGACGTGTCATCTATATTTTCCATATCTTTACCATGCGCAGTGAAGTCTGGCAATACTGACGTTATTTTGTCAATTAAAATATCAGAAAATTGGCCAAATGATGTTACTGATGTGAACCTTGTATTTAAAAAATTTTGCTTAGATCAGCATCCCAATGAAACAACAATTGTTCCTGAAACAGACTCTTCTGTGCCACCTTACTATGAACCATCATTTTTTTATCATATGATAGCTACTGCATCCTCATTAGTAGCACTAGCTGTAATTTGTTGTCTGGTCACTACTTACCACCGCGATAAAGCACGAGATCTCATGATAATTAAAGGTTTTCAGAATAATGAAGTGAATGTTTTCTTAAAATCTGCATTAAATTCAAGCAATAAGTTCAACCAAAAATCATTACCGGGATCAAAAACTAAAGTAAAAGATTTACATGAATGTATAGTTGAGTTAAGTGTCCAGAGGCAACGAGTTAGATTACAGAGTATTGAACTAGAAGGTACATTTGGACGAGTTTACAAAGGCTTGTATACAGATGTAAATGGAAAAGATGAAGATGTATTTGTCAAGACAGTTACTGATCAAGCAAGTGCTGTACAAATATCTGTACTATTACATGAAGGACTGAGTATGTATGGACTTAATCATAAAAATATATTAACAATACAAGCTGTGTCTGTTGAACAACATGTTGAACCTTTTCTTTTGTATTCATACAACAATAATGAAAATTTAAAGAAATTTTTACAAAATTGTAAGACGTCTGAAAGTATTTCATACACATTAACTACCAGAGAAATAATTGATATGACACTACAAATAATAACTGGTATGCAGTACTTACATAAAAATAAACATCTACACAAAGATGTTGCAGCAAGAAATTGTCTTGTCAACCAAGAATTGAAAATTCAAATAGCTGATAATGCTCTGTCAAGGGATCTATTTCCTAGTGATTATCATTGTCTAGGAGACAACAAAAATAGACCAATAAAATGGATGGCTGTTGAAAGTTTAGAGCACAAGAAATTTAGTACTGCCTCTGACATTTGGTCTTTTGGAGTTCTGCTCTGGGAGCTCTTAACTTTATGCCAGCAACCATATGCTGACATTGATCCATTTGAAATGTCAGCTTACCTTCAAGATGGTTTTAGGTTAACCCAGCCAGTCAACTGTCCTGATGAACTGTTCACCGTAATGGCATGTTGCTGGGCTTTAGCCCCTAATGAAAGACCAACGTTTTCCCAACTATCTATATTTATGAATGAATTCAACAATCAACTTGTTAAATTTGTATAACATTTACCAATTACTTATGTTTTGTATTGCAGTTGTGATAATTTTTTGTTTTATTTATTTTTATTTACTTTCACATATAAGAGCCAAATTGTACATATAAATTATTTCTAATGCTTTAAATTTTATTATTATTTATTAAACAAATTGTTTAATTGCAAAATGGTGTCTTTTGGATTAATTACTGTATGTCCAATAACTCTCGAGTCATTAAAAATTTCATGATCATTTCCTCCAACAAATGTTTTATCACCAAAAAAATGAATATTCCCTTTAAATTCGTCCTCAATATAACGTAGACAAAATCGTTTATCCCATCCTATAGGAAAACAGTCAAAACTTATTTGGCCACCTAAACAATAATAATTACAAAATATAATATGAATAACATTACATCAATTTAAACTGAATACTAACCAATACTGTAAGTCAAACCAATATCTGGTAAATTTTCTTTAATACTTTCAATGAATTTCTTTCTGATGTTATGAATTTTATCATATTCTTCAAAATTGTCACGTTCAATTTTTGAGCAAGATCGACCCACAGGACTAATATTGATCATGCCGGTTCGAAATTCAACAAAATTGCCACGCTTCACTGGCAATTGTATTTTAGACATGTAGTTTAATGCAAAGTTAATGAATGTTTGTAGTTTTTCTTCGCCCAAATAATCAATAATTGTCTAATTAATAATAAAAATAATAAAATATTATTGAATTCTGTTACACAAATTTGTAAAAATTATTTTAAAAACTATATTTAATGTTGAATTCAAAACATTTTTTTTTAGTACTTAATAGAAATATACCAAAATATTTTAGTATTTGTAATTTATGGTTCATATTTATAAAAAAATTGAATACCTAAATTGTATTAATTTTTATAAAATGTGTACTAATTTATTATTTCCACAGGTCTTCTGCAAAGCAAAAAATAATATGTAAATAAATGGCTTATCATTTGGAATCTTAGATTAAAAATTTTTAAACTAAGCATAAAATTATTTAATATTTCTACTGATCATTTTATATAATTTAATTTATTTTATTTTATAATCGTTAATTATTTTATACTAATCTATTAAAAAAATAAATATATATAATAATTTTACAGTCCTATATTATAATATAATTTAGAAGTTATAACATAAATAAATTATTTTACAAGGTTTAAATGAGTTATTAAAATTTAACAATTAACATACTTGTCTTTTTAATTCAATGCCATTCTTGAATGCAACAAGACCGTTTTCTGCAAATACATAGTCAAATTGGGCTGTATCTAAATAAAAAAAAAAAAGTTTATTTTTGTAAAATTAATTTTTAAAAAACTAAAAACGATCAGCAACAAGACAAACAATAATTGAAGTCTTACATTCTGGGCCTCCAAGTTGTTCATTTATCTTTGATATATCTGAACCACTCACCAATCCAATGAATGATTTTTTTTTCAGATTATCAACCAAATATAATCTTACTGATGGGTCGATTGGCTACAAAAAGTTTTGAACATTAAGAAACTATGACCATCTACACAATCTAAGAGATAATGTGATAGATAATTTTGAGATAGCACACCTGTCTAGCATCTGTAACCGTTCCGTCGACATCGAATAGACAAATCGTACTTCTACTCATCGTTAGAAATTTAAAACTTTATTATTAATCGCTTCAAATCACACACACGTCACACAATCCTATTATTATTATTATTATTATAACATGAGTATACAAGGTATAAATATTTACCTGTTACGCACTAGTTTGATAGTTTTGTTTAATAATCTATTGAAGATGATCGATGTCATTTTAAATGTAATCTTAGGATTCAAGAACTTAAATAATTTATATGAAAACAATATCTAAAAATTCCACATATTCAAAATCACGTCACAACGCGGCGGTTTTATCACAAAATTATTGCTTATTAGTTATTACCTATTTATTATCAACAAAAATCGTATAAAAACTCCAATAGAGTGCGCTAGATAATCCTCTTCCCAGTTTTTGCTTTTAAGTTGACTAAAAATGATTATAAATATTTATTATAATACTTTGTTAAAATAGGTATAACCAGTCCAGTTCAACTTGGTAATTAACAGTCGTGTATTTTGAGAATGAAATTATAATATTTATTTTATTATAAAATAATTTTTGAACCCTTGTTTTTCAATATTTGATGATTGTCGAGTGCCAAGATGAACTTTTTTTTTTGCCTTATGATATCGAGGACTGGAGGAGGAACCATGGTACCAGTACTTCTCCTCCAGCCACTATCGTTTATTGTCAAAACAAAAACATACAATAGTTAACAACGGTGGGCCAATCCACCACTCGCTGCTATTACACGCTATTACACGCAAGTGGTGTATATTATCAAAAAATACCAAATAGTCGCTCCGTTCTCCCTGATTGCCTAGCTATGGTGGATTCCGTCCGTTCACAGCCTGTCGCGCTCTTTCCTCTTCTTCCTTAGCTGAAAGGATATTCTCCACCATGCCGTAAAACAGCCTAAACCGCTCTTCGGCTTCACTCAGGATAGCGTCCCTCCCGTGAGCGTCCACCGGCAGAAGCTCGAACGCCGGTCCACAGATAATGTCCGGGACGTCGTCGGTGCTCGATCGATGGCTAATCCTGGCGCTCAAGGGTTCGCGAAAGCCGTCCCAGTGGGGGCAATCGAACAAAGTGTGTTCGGAGGTGTCTGATTCGCCCGAGCACTGCCAGGAGCGCGGGCTGGCGGCCCTATTCATGCGATGGAGGTACCATCCGAAGCAGCCGTGGCCCGTGAGTGCCTGTGTCATGTGAAATGTCAGAAGCACCCACGGGACGGTCCTTTCCAGCCATCTTGGTTAGTCAGGGATGACGCGGCGCGTCCAGGCCGCCTTTGGGGTAGCACGCCATCTCGCCTGCCAGGCGACGATTGTATTTTTCCTTGCCTCGTGTTTCACGACTGCCTTGGGAGGCCGTTGTTCGCCGGGCTCCATCACGGCACGCAGACGGGATCCGATGCTCTGCCTCTCCAGTCCGAGCAGGTCAACGGGCGGCATGCAGGCCAAAACCAGGGCGGCCTCGTCCGATACGGTACGGTATGATCTGATTACCCTCAAGACAGCGGTCCTCTGCGGACGGATCAAGATCGTCCTGGTTCTGGCGACTTCTGCAACGGCAGGGATCCAGACGGGAGCAGCGTACAGCAACTGACTCTTCACAACAGATGAGAGAAGCCTCCTCTTCCACTGAGCTGATCCACCTATGTAGGGCATGAGCCTGGATATCGCAGTAGCCGAGCGGGCCGCCTTCGCAGCGACGGTACTCGCGTGTGAAGCAAAGGTCAGACGCTTGTCCAGAATAAGACCGAGGTACCTGATCTCGTTTCGCAATGGAATCAGGTGACCGCCGACCGTCAAACGTGGTGACAAACGCCCGCCTCCGGGAAAGTACCACTGCCTCGTTCTTCTGATGAGCCAGCTCTAGGCCCCCTGCTCCGCATCCTCCAGTCATCTATGGCCGTCAATGTGGGATTAATTGCCTCTTCGAGCTGCTGTCCGGTCACGGCCGTACCCACAACCGCGAGGTCATCCGCGAAGCCGACGAGTCGCATCCCGAGCGGCGTTTCCATCTTCAGGAGGGAGTCGTAAGTGACATTCCACAAGGTAGGGCCAAGGACGGAACCCTGTGGAACTCTGCAGGTCACCGGTCTCTCTGCCATTTCCTCGCCAGTTAGTAGTGTACTGTCAGCCAGCCAGATGCATATTTTGAATGGCTTTTTTTTCTATGTTCCAGCCCACTAGATTTTAATATTTTTTTAAATTGGTCCATTTTAAGTTACCCATCCCTGATCCCTGATCTATACTAGATTACCTACTGATTATAGAAAATCACGAAGTAAGAAATTTTATCAAGATTTTAAGCACTTATCGTTAGACATATTATTGGTTGGAAAAAAAAATATTCGAAAAAGTACTTGGTTCTAAATTCCTAAATTCACACTTATTTTAAATTATTACTTATTAGCGTATGACATAATAATTTATGCTTACATATATTATTATATATTTTAGATCTGATTTCAAATTCTAATGTATAATGTATAAGTATCTAATAAACATTTGAATATATTTTTAGCATAATATAGATTTTACTAAAATATTAGATGAAACTGTGTAGGTACACGATTTATTAATGCTTGTAATTTGTAAAAGAATTAAATAATTAAGAATTTAAGACTTTATGTATGTTATGCTGAATAAATCAATTTGTTATTAAACAAATACTGTCAACTTTTATATTTTAAAAGCAATTTTTTTGACAAGCATATAATTTATTATAATATAAAACATTTCTTCTATTGTTCCAAATTTATTTTTAACTAAATTATTAATGTGTTTCATGAAAGTACAAATTAAAATCTAAAATTTTTATTAAGTGTAGTTTTATGCAATGTCATATTCATTTATAAAGCAATGAGGACAACTTTTTAATTTCATTACGTAATTTTAATTTTCTAATACTTTTAAATTAATTTAAAAAATGAGTACCAATGAAGAACTTCCGATAGTTAAAGCCATTGGAATAATTAAAAATTTTCAAAATAAATTAGGCAATTGTTATGAAAACCATATTTTATATTACATTGGATACCATATTCTAGTTTATTAGATATTCATAAATTTAATGAACAGTTAAAACTTAAAAAAAAAAAATTAAATTACAAATATTGATAGGTTCGGACATTCCGATAGATCTGTTGGAGTTAGTTATCTACTTCAGAATTATATACTTCTAATTTCAAAACGGAAATACTGAAGCAAAGTACTTATCTAAACATGTTTTTACAAAATTATTTAATATTTACTTTAATATTGGCGATTTGCTTATTTAGTATTAGGTATTTAGGTAGGTCGTAGGACGTAGGTATATACAATAAACCTAGGTGGTAACTGGCTTAGTATTATAATATTATAAGTTATCAACAGTCTTAAGTATGCTTAGTATGCTTCTGATTACAAAACTACAAATAGGGAAGGTGCGGAAGCACATATACCTTAAAAATTTTCAATTAATAAAAAAAAATAAATTAAAAACAACTGTAATGGAACATTTGAAGTAGGTAGCTAAGGAAATTATTCTATTTTCTATTACCATGTATCATATAAATATAGGTAAATACGCTTCAATCTTTATAAAAGTTTTTTTTTCGAAGTCAAAAATATTGAGAGTTAATTTATTTGACTGTAGTAGCCAGGATAGGTTAGGTATGAATTAGTATAATATTATGGGGCTCATGGTTAAATTAACCATCTCATCACCCCCTTCCCCTAACTACCTATACATCCTTCAAAAAACGATTAAATAATAATAAATAATAATATAGATATACTCGTAATATTAAAACATTGGTTCTAATTCCAAAACTAAGTATAATAAAGTTATTAAAAAAAAAAATCGTTAAAACACCGTCATAATTCCCAAATTGCGTGGCATTGTGCTCATACGTGCCAGCTATATAATAATAATAATGTTTTATATGCAGTATATTATGTATACCGGGTTATTAGATGTGAGTACTTCATTATAATACTCGTATATATATATACTATAATAATGCGGGTTCGTGTGTGCAGCAGTGTTTACGATCATGACTATAACATATAAATATAATATATTAGATAGACTTACAAATATATAATAATATCATAGCTCATAGGTACGCGTTTTCGTCCATCTAATCAGCTTGGTTTATTAATTATTACTATTTATTTATTTATTTATTTATTTAAGTTTTAAACGGGCCAGGCCCAATTACATATATAATGATAATAATGACAATCGATCGTTAAAGTAATATACATAAACAGAATAATTATAGAGAAAGACAAAAAAGGTACAATATTAATTATTATACATACATATTATTTAACATAATTATAGCTATGAATTAACAAGTAAGGAATTACAATAATTTTTGAATGAGTTAAAGTTTGGTGAAATGAACAAATCAATATTTAATTTATTTATAGTTTTCATAATTCTAAGATGGGGAGTATTGCTAGCGTAATTAGTTACTTCTGTGTTTAGATAGAAAGTGTTTTTAGACCGGGAGTTACGAATAGGGGTAAGGAAGGAGAAGCGACTTAGGAAGTCAGGACAGTCTATATTTCCTGAGAAAAGTTTATACGAAAAGTACAAATCTAATCGCAGACGACGTTGTTCAAGTGTTTCGAGGTTGAGAAAAGTTAGTAGTGGAGTATATGAAGAATGGGGTTCTCTGATTATGGAACATTTAAATGAAATGAAACGTAGGAATTTTTGTTGAATTTTTTCAATGATTTGCTTAAGACCCGACTGATATGGAGACCATATTATTGAGCCATATTCACAAATGGAGCGTACCAAGCTACAGTAAATGGACTTTAAAGCTAATGAATCATCAAAAACAGCACAATTACGACGGATAAAACCAAGGATTTTATTTGACCTGTTAACAATGTTGGTAATATGACTGTCAAACTTAAGTTTAGGATCAAAAAAAATACCGAGGTCTTTAATAGCCCCTAAAGTCCGAAGAAGTGTTTCACCATTAAGGTTGTAATCAAATGAAGAAATAACTCGAGCTCTGGAAAATGTCATTATCTGGCATTTCTTAGTATTAAGAGTAAAATTATTGTTAATGCACCACTCATGGAGAGTATTTAAATCGAGCTGAAGTAATTTAGAATCATTAAGATTATCAACTATACGGAATAACTTCATATCATCGGCAAACATTAGTTTAGTGCTATTATGGAAACGAATGTCATTAATAAAAATAAGGAATAATATTGGTGCTAAATGAGACCCTTGAGGAACTCCTGATGTAACACGAATTGGAATTGACCAGTGATCTTTGTAAGCTACTATTTGTTGACGATCTTCAATAAATGAGATGACCCAGGATAAAAAAAAACCACAAATACCAATTTGTTTCAATTTTGTAAATAAGATTTTATGGTTAATTTTATCGAACGCCTTGGTAAAGTCTGTATAAATTACATCAACATTCGATCCACGAGAAAGGGCGTCAGATATAAAATTTCGAAAGTTTAGTAAATTAGTAATCGTACTTTTATTTCGTCGAAAACCATGTTGATCATCTATGATTACATGATTCAGAACAGATAATACCTTATTAGCAACTATTGATTCAAATATTTTAGGTATGAGAGAAAGCAAGGATATTGGACGGTAATTTGCAACGTTGGATAGATCAGATGAAGATTTAGGAATTGGTCGAATAAAACTAGTTTTCCAGCTATCAGGGAAAAGCCCGAGAGAGAGTGATAAATTAAATAGGTAATGTAATGGCGTGGAAATGACAAATTTACATTCTCTTAGGAATATGTTTGGAATTAAATCAGGGCCAGGACTGGAATTGGAGCTTAATGAACCCAATGCTTCAAATACCTCAAATAAATCGATAGAACAAGAATCTAGTGAAGTAATAAGAACTTTGGGTGGAGTTTGCTGCTTGTAATTGACATTAATATTATCGTAGTTTTCATAAACACTAGAGAAGTAATTAGCAAAAGTATTAATAATATCCTTAGGAGTATTAAATTCATCTGCGTTTAAATGCATACAATTGGGTAAAAAATTATTTCTGCGTTTACTGTTAATGAACTTCCAAAATTTTTTAGGATTGATTATTAAATTCGTTTGAATTTTATTTATATAATTAAGATAATCTTTTTTAGAGAGAAACTTACATTTACTACGAAGATTAGAAAATTTATTGTAATCACTCACCAAACCAGAACTCTTAAACACTTTATGAGCAATTTTTTTTTAAAAATAGTTTCTATTAAATTTTTACTATACCACGAAGGGTAGTATGACTGATGTTTAATTATTTTAGGAACAAAAATATCAATGATATCATAAATAATAGAATAGAACAAGTCGACAGCTTCATTAATACTAAGATCATTAAATATAGAATTCCAATCAATCGATGCTAAGCAAAAAGTTATATCAGCGTAATTACAATTAAAAAAGTTATACATGCAAAAATTATATTTAATTGGTTCACTTATAACTATAGGAATATAAATTAATAAGCCCGGATGATACATGTCACACGGAATAAGTGGATTAACAGATTTAATTACGGATAAATCACTTAAATCAGAGAGAACTAAGTCAAGCATTGAACCAGTATTGTTATAAACATTATTAAATTGATAAAGATTTAAAAAAGATAGATTCGATAAGAAATCAGATTCAAAATTACTTAAGTTCAAAAGATTTGGAAAAAATCCAATGGAACTAGCAAGCCATTGTAGTTTAGGAAAATTGTAGTCACCAACCATAATTACGTTAGTAACATAAGGAAATTTTAAAAGTAAATTATTAAGAATAACAAAATGTGCATTGTAAATTGAGATATCAGTATGAGGAGGAAAATAAACATTACCTATTATAATATAACTATTGTTTACTTTTATAATGACAAATACATGTTCAACAGGGCTGATAGGTAAAGGTAATAAACGTGAATGAAATTTATTATTAATTGATAGTAGAACTCCTCCACCTCTAGAACGATTGCTAGTATTATGGTTTCGGTCACAGCGATAAGTATTATAGTTAGATAAACCTAATTCAGAAGTATTAACATTAGGAGATAACCAAGTTTCAGATAAGCCGATAAAATCATATTCTGATAAATATACATTACGCATTAAAATATTTAATTTGGAATTGAGTCCACGAACATTTTGATAGTAGAAATTTAGATTATTAATAACTGGCCCGTTTGTTAGTTTTTTGAAATGGTCGGTACACCTTTGACAAACTTCATAACTAAGTTGGTTTCGCCGGCTGTTTTACGTTCCTCGAGTTTCACTATGATATCACGAAGTTGATTTCGTTGCATAATAGTACGATCTGGAGATATACGAATGGAACTGTATGTAGAAGACGTGCGAAGTTTGTGTTTATTTTTAAGTACAATAAAAACATCGGATGGCTCATGTAAAATAACTTTAAGTGGCCGAGGTTTACTTGATTTTTGGCCTAGTCTAGAAACTAATGCTGGAGCAATATTAGGAGCTATAGAAAGTAGAACAGACTTAATTAGCGATAAATCATCTTCAGTATTTCCATCAGATTCTGCAGCATTAAAGACAATTAAACTTCGTGATCTTGCCTGACGATCAATAACTTCGGATATTATGGTCTCGTCCGCTGAATAGTTTGAAGATTTAGCACTAGACAATTGATTTTCTAATTGGGTGACTTTATTTTCGAGCACTAAAGTACGAGTCCCCAATTCCCGCAGTTGAACAGAAACATTGTCTAGCTTCTTATTGAGTGACGAAAGCGAGGTTTCATGTTTAGAAACCGATTGTTTAATATCATTTACTGTCGAAAGAATGGTATTAATTTTAGAAATGAAATCAGTATCTGCAACTGGTTGAGTAACCGGTGATTTTCTAACTCCAAGTCTTGAACACTCGCAAACAGTACACAGCCACGAAGTACAACGAGTTTTAAGATTATTGCCGGTTAAACCCGAAATAGACGTACAAGCAATATGGAATGGCTTAGAACAAATTGAACATTTAACACAGTCGGTATCCGCCAACACAACGTTGCACTTTGAACAATTCATGCTATAAAGTATAGATAACGGAGCGAAACAAAAACTGTAAACGACTGGTTCGAACGAATGTCAGAATATAACTGAAATTATAGACATTAAAATGTATACACATAATATTACACTCTTTTTCAGCGTTATAAATATAAATAATATAATATAACATACATTATTTTGTTATCGCAATTTAATAGTTACTACTTGCTAAATATACCTATACATGATATACTTACCTGCCCAGTGCCCACTATGTCCCTTTAATAATATTATTATTATTATAGTAATACATGGTATATGTTTATACCTACTTGTTTTGACAATTTATTGTAATAGACATTTATGTATTGTGATCACTTAACAGTTGCCTGTCGTAACTCGCAGTTGAATGTATTTGGATGATGGTATAGGCACTTGCCCGAATTATGTGGATTAAAATAATAGAAAAAAAAAAATTTAAAAAATTTAAATTCTTCGAAGCAGTCTCATCAGACGTCAGCCTTTAACTTAAAGAAAAATATACTTTAAGATAAATATAATAAAAAGCCTATGAGATGCCCTAGATAATAATCTCACTTTTAAATTTCAAAAGAGGTCAATTCATTCTAATTTTCAAGCTGAAGGAGCTAAACGTGATCTTCTGAGAGTACTATTTGCCATGTTACGCATTTGTAAGACGGAGACAACATATGCGGATACGACGTCCTCTTAACCCCACAATAATCAAGAATTTGTACTTTAAATTGTATTTTATAAGGTTAATTTTCTGATTTCTAAACATGATTACATTATATCAGGAAAAAAATATAGTGTTTTTGTATAACTATCAATGTATTATAATATATTTCAGCAGCTGTGAAACAGACAACAGTATACATAGATATGCAGATTTACCTGAATATTGTACTTATTACGTAATGTATTTCTACCTTCATATACATTATAATATGTTTTATACATCTAAAGTCTAAACATTCTAAATTTATACAGCTGTTAATTCCATGCATATTATTCATTATTGCAATATACTCATAGCCAATATTATGTGCATTTTACGTGTAAACGTTTTAACGTTTTAAGTGAATGATTAAGTGCGTATAATATAGTTTTTAGTGTCTCTGCTGCACGTATTCTGCATCTTTAACAAGTTACTACCATCGCCACTGTATAATACTGATTACAAAATCACACGTCTTCATAATATAGACTATAAGAATAAGGATCAAATATGTACAGAGTGATTATTCTTTCAACATTATATAAATTAACATTCATTATCAAAATAAATTATGCTTTACACAGAAATATAATAATAGGTACTTTTATATCTTTTTAAATGTCTTTAAACCATCAATAAATTAGATTTTAATATATTATATCTACCTACAGCTTACAGGTAAGTACCTACATATTATACAATATACGTTATAATACATAATAGTAATAGATATATTTAATTTATTTATACTTCATAATTTTTGACAAATTATAGTCTGCTTTAGATATTAAATATAAAATTAATGAGTAATAACTGCATGTATAAAATATAGGTACGTTAAAGGTAAAATAAAATAAAATTCTGATAATTTTCATAGATGATAGTGGTATGTATATATTTTAATAAGTGTGCGTATCTAAAATACGCTTTGATATATGGAAAATAACACAAAATTTAACTGAAATAACGTATGCTCGTTATTTTCCATCAACAGAATCACAATGTAGCGTAAACATACGATTGTGAACATAATAATTTATAGGTAGGTACATATAATGGTTTTAATAAAATCAAATCAAACAATTTATCTACCCCTGAAGTTCTGAAGTTGTGGTAGTAATAATGTTGGATAAATGTAACAATTATTGGTAAAGTAACTATTTTATAATTTACATAAGCTTATTTTTTATTAAAATTACTATAACATTTTATATTAACGTGTATAAAATGTATACTGATACTAATAAAATTGTACTATTATGCCTCACCTTATTAGATATACCTAACGTATCATAATAAACATTTGTCTATACGAATTAAATATACAAGTTTAATATTGCTCAAAATTTCAAAATTAATTAAAAAAATTGTTGGGTGAAGCAGCTATATTATATACTAACATAATTTGATTTTAAGTATTGTTATAATATTAAATAATACAAATTATATTACACCAAAGTAATTATTGTAAAAGTTAATAAGAAAGTTTCAAAGCATTAAGTTTTCAATCTTTAATTTTATTGTATTCCATCCATGGCGTAACTTGGAGTCGATTCGGGGGGGGGGGGGGGGAATCAGTAGTAAAAGTGTAAAATTAAAAGTGCGTTAATAAATTAATAAATAAATAATATTTAATAACTCAATATATTATTTTTTATTTTACATTATAAAACTGATAAAAAGATATAAAAATATAAAAATCAACATAATTATTAAAAACTATACGTACCTATACTTATTATATAATTACATGCTAATTTATTTTAATACAAGTCGGCGACTACAAATGGATGCAAATTCATCAATTATTTGATCAATGTTAGCTTGTTTATCTCTTTCAATTAAATGCACTTAAACGACAAATCTATTAATAATAATTATTATACAATGCATTATGTTAGTTTATTTTTCTATGATAAAATAGAAATTGATTATAAACTGATGTATTGCCCCTCAATAAAATATCTGGAGAGGCAGTTGCCCCTCTTTTCCCCCAGATTACACTCTAAAACGTACAACTTTAAAATATTGAATAATTGAATACAAAGAACCATTTAGTAACCATTTTTTTTTTAGATTTTCGAAGATTTTTAAAAAATGTTTACAGATTAAGAATAAAAAATTAGTTGTTCTTTTTTTTTAAATTAATAAATATTTTTAATGTGCTCATAATTTACATAGTAGTTAGCAACAGGGGTGGTATATTTAAGGGGGTCCGTTCCCCCCCTCCATTTACCATATTTTATACTTCTTTTTTATTATTGAGAATATTAGTCGGGTAACTGCATGCAGACGGTTCACGAGCCTTTTTTTATGTGATGATTTTTTTTTTTGCTTTCTATGACTCTGGTCCGCTTGATTTTTTTTCTTTTTGGTAGTATATTGAGTAAAATTTTAGATAGTGTTTCCCCCCTCCCCCTAAAAATAATTCTGGATACGCTACTGGGTTAGTAACCCAAAATATTACAATATAGGCACTGATCGAGTGTATCATAATAGAAACACAATATTTCATAGTTGATATATGTTACATCATAGTGTAGTTAAATTACTAAAATTATTATCATTTTTTTTCTATTTTGAAACATATCTTTAATAAAATCTATCAGATCATATGCAAATAAAAAATGCATGCATGGTTTTAAATTATATTATTTTAATCACTTACTCGCTTATGGAAGATTCTTAAAAACATAGGTTGGCCAATATATACAGAAATAATAATTAATCTGGTGTTTCTCTGGTATGTATGAAAAACTACTTCAACATTTTTATTTAATTATAATTTCTCAATTGGTTTGAATATTGATACAATGTACCTACATTGATTTTGCCAAAGCATTAAAATTATTCATTAAATCTTATTTGCAAAATTAAAATAAATTGGAATTTGTAGTCTTTTTCTTGGCTTGTATCATTTAATTTTAATTGAAAACCGTGTTTAAATATAAAGTAGCTAATAAAGAGTACCTATTAGTCTACTCCAAGATTACGTAAATAAATAAATAATAAAAAAATTACAAAAAAGGCATTAAATTATTTATGCAAAGCTTATATGATAATATAATTGTATTCATAATTTACAATAGAATTAAATATATAAAATATATTTATTACTAAATGTTTTAGAAAAAAATTACATTAAAAAAATTTTATTTTTACAATTTTTTTTAAATGTGTTATAAATTTTGAAAAATTATCAAAACTAATTAACTTTTAGAAGATAATTTATGTGAAATAGACTAAGGAAACACATACATACATAAAATATACTTATCTGACTATCTGTAGCATTGTATATTTTGTTGTCTTTATTTTAAATTAAATAATCTGTCAATCTATTTATATTTTACATGATATGCATAATGGTAATAGAAGAAGGTTTGACAGAACGATTTGATAGCAGAATCCCACTGTCAACACTTCTGGATATATTTTTTTTTATTAACAATAATTTTGCACAACGTATCCATATCTATTAGGTACCCATAATTAAACTACCTACATACCGAGTAATCTGAGTAATCACCGTGTGTTTTATATAATATCACGTGAGTCGGCGGCGGTCTATTGATCTACACCACGCAATAAAACGACTATTATATACGTGCATATAGGTGCCTATACTTTATCGATAACGAGAGTACAATATTGTGATGAACCGATAAAATGCGCGCGGGTATATACTATATAATACATAATACATATAGATATGGGTATGGCTATACATTAAAATTAAAAGAGTGATCGTGTCTGTACGTGGGGCGAAAAGCAAAACGGTTCGATTTTTTTTCGAACACGTATATTATTAATATGCAGTCATTTCATTTTTCTACGTCATTATAATATACATGACGACGTTATAATGTATAGCTAGCTAGGTATATACTCGTTTCAGGGGTTGATCTGTCGACAGAGATAACGACGATGACTTTGTGTAAATCGTGTATGTGTGTGTCGTAAAAAATAATTAAGTTATATACGAGCGTGATGATAAACACATGGTGTGCCCTTAAGCTACAATAATTGCTTTATTAGTATAAATATTATGTTTTATCTCGTATAATACATGTAGATAGGTACTGGTACTCGTATACTGCCATAAATGAGCTCCCGATGGGTGCCCATCAAAAATAAATAAAAAGGGGTTATATTTTTTTAATACAATTTATTATAATCAAATAGTAATTAGTATACGGTTTTTACGTATTATTATAATATTATACATGGTATTATTATTTAGATCTTTTAAATATAGCTAAGCATTTTAATATCAAGGAATCAACCACGGTTGATTCACGTTAAAAATCAAAATTTTAATGTACATTTTTTTTTTATCCATATCATCTT